CATATACATATATATATATATATATGTCCATAGAACAGGCGGCTGGAAAACAAATGATGGCGTATACCTAAACCGAGGTCAGAGAAAGAGTTTGGTGAAGTCGGGAATGGCAAGTGGAATGTCAGAAGCCCCAAGCCCCTGAAGAGGTGAGATAAACCAAGCAGACCATTCCCAAAGGGTCTCTACATACGGCGTATACTGACATCATGATGGAAACAGCCCCAAAAATGCCATCCGCTTACGGTGTTGATTGGTAGCACTGTATATATATATATATATATCTATCTATATATATATATATATATATATACATATATACATATATATATATATATATATATATATACATATGTACATACATATGTTTTATTTACTGAATTATTCATGTGGTCAACTGTTCATTCACTGCTGTGTTTTGCACTCACTGGATGGACATTCTGGGATTGAGATCGTTTAAGCCGCACAACTTCATTCGTCGATGCGACATACTTCTCCACTGAGTCCAGAAACACACAACATGAAATGTAGAAACGAGTTACTCTCGATCTTCTCGTTACTGCTACTTACGGCTGTCAGCTTTCGATAAACCGCAGAATCGTAACATGGAGTCGGGTCAAGAAAGCCCAACTCTCATTATAAACTCTAGACCCCTTGCCCTCAGACACTAAGTTCAACATAGTTCACCTATGGCCTCACGATAAACCCCCCCCACCTTCAACTTAAAGTTGAAACATAAAAAGCTCACTTGTAACGTATGGCCTCACTGTAGACCACCTCAAACCCTCAACCCTAAACCCCTAAACCTTCAACACTGAACTCTCGTAACGCACCCAGAGAATCGACCTCCCCAACAGTAGCCGCGCGCGCCGTAGCCCTGGCCGGCTCCGTAGCCTTTGCCGAAACCTTAGTGGCCATGGATATGCTACCATGGTAGCATGGACATTGCCATCGTTCGGGCATGGATGCTCTGGCCGTGGATATGCTATCATGGTAGCATGGACAATACCATCGTTCGGGCATGGATGCTCGTCATTACCCATTGAAGCCAAGAATCGTTCGGTCCGCGGCCTGACAAAAAGGCACAATCTCATCCTGACACCGAGGAAATCGTTTTGTTGGAGATGCGCACCGGGTCTTCTTCTTTTTCGGCTGTTTCTGAAGTGGCGGCCGCCTGTCATTCACACTGAACTTATCCGTAAACTCTAAACCCTAAACCCTCAACCCTAGACCCTAAACCCTAAAACCCCAAACCCTACGCAAAAGTAAGGACTTCTAGGACCTCCCAAGCATTGGGGCAGCTGCACTGAGTCTTCCTCGTCGGCCTCGCAGTAGAGCTTTCGGGGGGGGGGGGGGGCACATTATACTCTAAGTACATGACCAAGTTCGAAAGGCGCCTTTGATTACTTCTACCTTGTTTTTGCATAGTGGAGCGATACATCGGGACTGCCTGGACCCCAAGAGTATGTAGAATAATGTCCTTTTGTAGGTATTGGGATTTTTTTACCTACTTTGGGTGGTTTCAGGTATGTAGGAATAATATCCGACCCCATACGTTAGGCTGCGTTTAGCAGATCCTGTTCTGCAGGGAGTAGCGATCGGAAGCCGGGAACATGCTGCCCCGTATTGCTTCAATACAACTTAGCCCCAGACAACCTACCCCCAAACCAACAATTGCAGTAGAATCCTGATTGAGGAAGGAACCCCTAGTTCGTCTTACCATGTTGTGGCTTTTTTCAATCCTGAACCCTAAACTCTAAACCCTCACAGCCTAAATAAGAGCCCACATCCAAGATCTTTCACCTCGGGATCTGTCTGATAGCAAACTTGCATAGGAGAGATCGAGCAACAAAGCCCCGCCCTGCCCCTGCTGCGCACTATTACAAGATAATTACCCCAAGCCCGGTTCTAATTATTAAACCCAAAGACTTTAGATGGTGGCAAGAACTCTCGTCGTTGCCCGTTACGGTTCTCTTAAATCTACACGTGCTGAGTACTGTCCATGTCCCCTCGAAGCTCTAAAACCTTAGTTGCCTCCACACCCAAAAGCACAAACCAGATGTACTCAATCTCCCCTCTCTGCACCTCATCTTCCATGTCTTCTTCCTGACGAAAGATCATGGATAGGCTTTAGGGTCTGGGGTTTTCGGTTTACGGAATGGGCTGGGCCAGAAACTCCTGATAGTGAGACTTGGGGCCAACATGACACACATGATGGATGATGAGCATCATGAACTGGTAGGTGAACACGGTGGGAAGACAACAGGTGGCAGCGAGGATGCATGGGACACTGAGAACGCTCATGTTACAAGTGATGATGATGCTTGTGATGATTTTCATGGCGATGATGGTGGCAGTAACGATGATGGTCAGTGTTCTCACAACACCCTTACTTAAAAGAAAGAACTGATCATGAAAGTTTCTACCAGCAACATCATGCTAAGACGACCAACATTGCCACTGCCAGTACCACTACAACTGCCACTGCCCTGGTGCTGCTGGTGCTGCTGGTGCTGCTGGTGCTGCTGGTGCTGCTGGCGCTGCTGGTGCTGCTGGTGCTGCTGGTGCTGCTGGTGCTGCTGGTACTGCGGGTGCCTGCCGGTGCTGCTGGTGCTGCTGAAGCTAGTGGAGCTGGTGGCACTGATGGCGTCCCCATGACCCGGAGCTCTCAAGGAAGAAGCAGTCAAACCTGCCGCTCGACAGTCACGACCTTATGTTCTACAAAATTTGGACCCTGACCCACAACCCTTCCTGAACGCTCTGTCTCCTTTTTGCTGCCTCCTCCCGCGCTTCGAGGAGCTCCGCATCGAAGCCCACGCAGTCGATGGCCTTCAGATGGCTCTCCACAGGCACACCTCGGGGCCAAGGAACAAGGGCTCATACGAAATAGGGGCCTTAACAATTACAATAGGGTTCAGGGGCCCATTGTACGTCATAACAAGGAACCCCCAAATAACAGTATTTGTAATTTTGTAAGGCCCCTATATTGCGGTATATACCCTTCTGCTACCGGCATCAAGTCTAAGGTTTAGAGTTTAGGGCTCCGGGTATATACCCTGAACCCCAAACCTTCATCCCTGAACCCTAAACCTTTACGAAGGCCGACACTACTAAGGGTCCATGTACCTCTTGTGTACTTCGGACTAAGTGTACACCCTGCATAATGCATGGCACAGGTATGGACCAACAGCATTGGAGATCTTGTTTCACTAGCGAGAGGTTGAACAAGTGTTGAACAGAAGTGCATGGATGATTATGGCTGGAGTGCCAGTAAAGGCCCATTTAGCCTGCATAAAACCCCCGCATTTGCCTTGGTGGGTGACTTCGGCCCTCTTCATGAGGAGGTTCACCTGAATGACTGGCGGCTTGCAGGTCCAAACGTTCCTTGGCTTTTCGGGAAGGTTCCCAGGGTGCCACGCACATGTTACTGATTCTTGATATGTGAGTATGGCTTGCGGGCCTCGTTCCAGATTAGAGCGTGTAGGGCTTATGGCTTCTAGAATCTATAGAGTTTTCGGGGCTAGGGAACGAGCTGAGGAGACCTCAAACAGCTAGCTAATCAGTTAGCCTACCCGAACCCAGAGGCTCCTGCATACTGCTATGCAGAGACTGAAGATAGAAGCTTTACAGTCTACCATATAGGTACCCCAGGACCGCGACTGCCCTTGATGTTCAGAGGAGCAAACTCAAAGCTACGGAAGCGTGTCAAAGCCTTCGTGGTTTGGCAACGTGTCTGTCTCGTGCTTAGTAGGGAATGGGGGAATGGAATCCTATAGTCTTCCCTCTATAATCCCCAATAATAGTCTCCACAATCCATTCCCCCATTCCCTGCTAAGAACCAGACAGTATAGCTATCCTGAAACCCGCATTCGGGCTCATTGCTTTCTAAGTGTCACTTGTAGCGGTTTTTTGCCTTGTTCAAAGTTCAAAGTATTACTCATCGTTGTTGCTGCTGTCACTTTTCCGTCTGCTAGATAACAACATCTGCTCATTTCCTGGTCGAAGCCTACAGCACTTAAACCTGAAGTCTTAAGCTGTCAGTGCTTGTTCAGCTTGCAACGACGGTATGGCCATGCGTACTGGGCCCGAACGTGAACTGAGCCTTGGAACGGCTGTTGCAAGGCTCACCGATCGAAACACAGCGTGCTCAGTGGTTTAAGCTAAGTTTTGGTTTCAGGGTTCAGGTTGAGGGGGGCAGGGCTTAGGGTTCAGGGTTGTAGGGTCATCAAACCCCCAGTTGAGAAGTGCGCCCTGTATTTCAACCTCTGCCTCCCAAACGAATACCTAGCCATAAAGTCGATTTCCTCCGTGAACCCTTGCTGAAATTCTAGGTTCTAGAAACTCTACGAAGTCGGCGAAGAGGAGACAGTGTCTGCATAAACTTTCAGTGAATTCCACGTCAACTGATCACCCTGCCAGCAGCTGATATAGGGCCTGAATAAGTCGAATAGGGTTGGGGGGAGGGCACATTACAGAATGGTTAAAGTAAGGAACCCTGGAGTTGAATAATTGCTAAACTACCCTCAAACGCAATACTCTTATAGGAATAAGCCGCCCTACCTAAAAAGGCATGATAATGGGGATCCCACTTCTAGGGCCTTAAAGGAAGAGAGCGTCTTGTTGTGGTTTCAAAACCCAAATCCGCCCAACTGCTGCAGCAGTAGAGGCCTGCAATGGGGTCATAACCTACCTCATGATAACCTACTTGTCGAGTATCCTGGAAAACTAAAGGTTAACCTGCTTGGGAGTATATTTGGATTATATAGGTGTTATAGCACCCCCGAAACGTCGAAGGTCACCTGCTCTACTACTGGGATAAAGCCTCGCAAGGATCCTGCCGCTGTGCAGCATATGTGATACTGGGGTCCCCGTTTTCGTGAAACAATAATAACCAGCCCCGAAACATTTCCAACTTCTTAAGACAGGCCAGATACATAAGGCTCGTGAGTTTATGTCAATGTAAGGCTTGGAAGGAATCCACCATCGGCCTTGGCACCCGGCATTCAGCGACCGCAGCTGTCCCTGCTGTGCATTGATTCCCTCCTTCTCGGCTCCTGCTAGGTGCCGATGCCGATGACGGGAGTAGAGGGTAGTCATGTGGTTACTGTGGTTTAGTGAGAGGGGCTGCGAAACCTATCTGCAATCTGTCAACTCTGCGAAATTGCACGCTAAATCTCAGCCCTGACCTTGTGAGTCGGAAGTACTGGGCTTGGGCGTTGGGGTGTTGGGGATCTAGAGCCGTCGACCTAAGCCCCTAAACCCTAAACCCTGTGGCGGTCGAGCGGCCAGGATTAGCGATGCAAGGGTTCGGAGGCTAAGGGCCCGGAATCTTGTAACTTGGATTGATTAGGAAAAGCTCCTTACCCTTCCTTATCATGAGGAGGAGATTTGCAGAAAGCTTTGAGGACCGACCTCGCGGGCATCTCTCCAGAGCATTGATCGCGTGTTGGCCGCATGCCAGGAGGCATTCAACGACAAAGACCTGAGGGTGAGAGGGGCTGAGGGTTTAGGGCTTAGGGAGTGAGAGGATCGATGAAAACGGACGGAAAGGAGAAAGCTCTCCAAACTGCTCTTTCTGTCCGCCTTTGCCTGGCATCCAGAGTCACCCGAATCCCTGAAACACTCCTTTCGCAGATTTTGATCCTGCACGCACGCCTCTCAGGGGAAGAAGTAAGCCTACGTGGTCCTGCACAAGTGGTTCGGGGTTGACAAAATCCTTTGGCTTGCTTTCCTTCGGCTACAGTGTTTACACTAGTGACAGTAGCGTTTCTTCTCCTCTTCTTGTCCCAGGGCCTTCTCTACGTCCACGACTCGCTCTCGCAGTCCTCCCTGCTCGATGCTGACAAGGGGCTTGATGTTCTTCTCCTGCTCGGGGTTGGTCAGGCTCGCCAGTAGGTCGGCATAGAACTCTACAGCTCTTTGGTCTTCAGCAGCATCAGCAAAGTTGAACCGGCGCTGGTTGGCAGTAAACCAGGCTGCGCGAAAGGCCAAAGCCTTCGATACATCGAGACAAAAGTCGGTTGGGCTGGTGTCCCGAAACATTGAACCCGCCCCAAACCCTACACTCAAACACATCAATCATTCCCGATATCCTGAGCCGTAAATTCAAAACATAGAACCCTAGTAACCCTTTTGGAGCCCTGCTGGCCTTGATGGTTTGCGCCTCGGCTGCAGGCATCAGCCCTTCCAGCTGCTGCGCCAAAGCTTCCGCCTCCTGCTTGTCACGATCTGCCGAAGACCTGGAGGCTCGGTACAGAGGCTTAGCATTTTCGGTTTAGGGATGGATCGATTTTAGGGCTTAGCATTTGGGATTCAAGGTTTAGGGATGTTTAGAGTTTAGGGATGTTGGGGATTGAGGGCTCGGCTTCGAGATTTCAGTCTGGGCTTTGGGTACTCGTGCTTGGAACTTGAATCACCGATTCCAAGTGGCCACAGGAAGGATCGCAGGTTGGCAGCATGCCAGGCTGCATAGACTGCAAGCTGCTGGATACAGTCTGCCACTTCACCCGCGCTGCTTTTGTCAGCACCGCGCGAGTCACATCGCATCACGACATTCGAAGGGCCCGTCCATCAAGGACAAAACACAGCTTCCTCTTGTTTGTTGCACTCTGGATTTTGATGTAACTTAAGCGCCGGTTGCCAGGGTCCGCCTGCTGTAAGAAGCCTATTTCCAAGATCCGAAGAATATTGTATATGTCAGTTGGACGCATCCGGGCATGAGCCACTACTAGACTACAGGGAGCCCCATTGGAATGCCGATGGTAAGGCTCACAAACAAGGCTGGCAATGCAATGACGAAGACGCCTTGCTGTGACCATTGGCGGCATCATTCATGACACGAAAGCCTGCCCTTCATCTTTGACAACTGCCATGGCAAGGCAGAGACTAGATCACAAGAAACATAAGCATCTACGAAGACAAGCTTCTGTTGCACGCGCAAGCAAGTTATGATGACGACGTGAAACACATGCGGCCTCAATTGCTGTGCCCCGAACGCAGCGGCCCTCCTCTCCAGCTCACCACCTGAACCGCAAGAAGCTGCAACAGCCATGCAGGTGGCTCGACGATTGTGGTCTTGGGCAAGCGTTGGCTCGCAGGGCACACTGTCGTCGGTCGTCGCCGGGCAGAGAGAGATGTTGGATCTCCTGTCGGCGGAAGTTGTCGTCCCACCCTTCACGTACTTCAAGTCTTCAAGTCTGCCTTCTCGCACGCGTTTCGTGGATACATTTGTCAATATCCTTCTCGGCATACCTAGTAATGTACCTGATATGACCTTTGCTCTGCACGTGCTCCTCGGTGGCAACCGCCGGAGGTCACTGAGCTCCTCCTTGCATGGGCATCGCCGGAGGTGGTTCTCCGTCTCTTCGGAACCTGCTGCTGCAGAAGGTGCGCCTGGTGGCTCTGCGTGCTTCTGCCTGTTCTGGGCCCCCCCGATTTCAAGATCTCTCCTTCTGGGTATCTGAGGTTGCTCTCGTGCTCCTTTGACACTATGTGCTCATGTGCCCGAAAGTGATCAATCTCCTTGGCGCCGTCCGGGAGACGGCCCACCTGAGATTCCCCGAGTCGGCGGAGGACTCGGCATCCTTGCGGCCGAAGCCAGTCTTGATGTCCGGGCCTTCACCTTCATTGCCACATTGGCAGCCAAGGTCCAAAGATCTGCATGTACGATGGTGTCTGGAACGTACTTCTCAGTGATGGGCTTCAGAAGTCCAAGCGCGACATGCGGGAGTCCTGCATTGGTGCCGAAGGTGCCCTCTCCACCATCCAGTTTGCCGGCCGAGAACACGCCGGCATCGTGCCAGACAGGCGCACAAGGATCGGTCCAGACTCCGTCTCCTTGACGAGGGTCTCCAGGTCCTTCACCAGAGCGTCATAGCTCTCGCCACCACGAGCGGCCATGGACACCAGGTTCTTGCCACCAGGGCGCTGGACTGACCAGCTGAGCGCAGCGCTGGCCACCAAACCTGCGCACTAGGCCGGTAACATCGGCGACTCCACCGACCGGAGTGTCCCGCCCGGGTCACGACGCGCTTCGAGCGGCGCTGAATTGTAGGTAACGCTTCATCCCAGACCTTTCCCAATAGCTCCGCCATGCTCTTGAGGGCTCCGATGTATGGTCCTGTTGCTCAAACTTCCTTTCCAGCCCTGCACTGTCACTGGCGTCGATTGCAGGTACTAGTAGCCCAAGGCCAGAAGGGAGCTTGCCGTAGTCAGATGTCTCCACCAACGGTATTCCAACCTGAAGCTCGGGATCCTGCTCTGCACGATCCAGATTGGCCGGAGCGGACCTTGCAGTAGCAGAGTCTGATTGGCACTGCTCTGGAGGCGTTGTTGATAAGCAACATCTGCGTTCATGGCTTCCTTCATAGATATGGCCTTTCGGTCCCTCATCGGACGACTCCGATACTTCTCATAGCACCTCGAGACTTTGTGACAGAACCGAGGCAGGAAGAGTTGAGGAGGGCTTTGAGGCTGGGGAGGCTTGGGAAGTCTTGGACCCCTGGTGCCGATGGACGGTGTACGAGGATGGCTGTGATAAAAAACTGAAATGATGATTCACATCACTGGACAGCTCACCCAAATCGGCAATGGTAGAACTTGTACTGTCGTCGAAAATTGGCTGTGTAACTTCTGGTCTCGCCAGTGGAAGCTACCTCGAGAAGGAAGACGAGTTCAGATCGTGGCCCACTACGCACTCAACACTGACACGAGCTCTTTTACGGGAAATGGGCAGCATTCCTTTCCTCTCCATGCCCATCTATCTGGATTCTGCCTTGTAAAGCTCTTTTCTTGAACCCCCACATACTCAATGCGTATATGGTGTGATTGCCCAACAACCCTGCTCAAACTCGGTGAGAAGAACGGCACCACCGAGCATGCCTGCTTGGGCACATGGACGTGCACCACACAGGACCTCAATGGCAGTGAAGTTGTGACACCAGCATTGACGTTGGAGATTTCGCAAATTTCAGGCCTAGATGGACATTTAGCAAGGCAACATAACACACATACGTTTGGATGCTGAACTTGTTGCTGTTTGCGTTTGCGGATTGCCATGTACGTCCTCGTAACAGCAGGTTTGCATCGCTTGGGTGGGAACTTAAACCTTGTGGCTTGGGTCGATTCATCGAACTGGCGGGGAGCCGTCTGCATTACAGAACCTTCAAAGTACACTCATTCTGAACATGTGGGCCCCCGGAGTCCTCACCGAGGACCGCGGCTTCGAGACGCACTCGCCCCAACGAGCTAAAGTGAGCTTGGAGCTGCTCGCCTATGAACTGGAAGAACCCATCAGGCTGCTACGACCTTCCTAGGCAATCTGAACGGCGTCTGGTCTTCAATATGACTCTAAGGCACCAACATCGGAACAATGCAGCGCAGGCTCACCTGAATCTTGTCAGCTGCCAGCCCTTGCAATCGGACAGCCTGACATGCAGGCAAAGCTTAGACCAAAAAGCCCTCAATGTGGCACCTCCAGCACGCAGAGGACGGAACGATAATCCTGCTCAGTATGGCCGGGGGAACGAGGCAATATTTCGAAATGTTCAGTGACTATCCATCTGTTACTTACCAGGGGGGCGGCCAACTCAACTCAACTGTACCACGATAGGATGGCTTCAGGCTGGCCGCTTTGCGCTGGCGTCGCAGGCATGACTCGTGGCTCGTGCGACAATTATGGGAATTGTGGGAAAGGGGTTCTTCTGCTCAATATCTTGAAGTCCTAAAACTGCAGCGGCAGGCCTCTTCTAGACCATGATCATGTTCAAAACCGAAGCCCAAGCAACAGCAAGAATAGACCTGGCGGACCGGCACCTCGTGACAAGCGCCTTCGCTGCAGATGGCGGCCGCCTCGGATAAACCATGAATCACGACGGCCACTCTAGGCCAACCCTGAGCGCTGTGCAGGTGCGCATGAGCTGCAAGCGCGTGAAAAACTGTGCGGCATGCAGCGAATTGCCGATGGGACTTTTTTGCAGCAGGCGGTAGGTTCGGGCAGCAGGCTGGAAATTGAGCAACGGGGATCGAGCGGCGCTCGTTCTTGCTCAAGTCCAGCCGTGTCGTCATGGAACCTAGCACGCCGGGGATCATTGATGTCATTGGCCTGTACAATGTGGTCGCTGAGCACGTGTGCGATGCGACTTATAATCTGAACATCTCCAGCCTCGCCCGTGCGGCACGGCGAGCAGCGCTCGCTGTGCATCTGAATCATAAAAACAACTATGACAAGTCTGACGAGTCACTTAAAACAAGATTTCGACCACTATCAGCAGGAGCTTTGGTACGTAAGCCGTGTGACGGCAACTGGGCTTCTGGACAGATGCTCAAGAATTGGCCCGCTCAGGCACTCCCACTGCTGCGGCTCTGAGATCTCGGACCTCTTGGGGCGCGCCTACGCTCCTCCGGATGAGGCCGGTGGCAGAAGCGACAGTTCGAACCCTCGCTGCAGGTGCCGCGAATAAACTTTCTACAAACGTTCGTGCAGGATGTGCCTCCCTTGCAGAGCCGGGACCCCTCTGAGGGGACCTGCCCCAACCCCGGAGGGCTGGAGACGGATCTCGTCGACGAGCCTGACGAGAGGTCTTCCAAGCTGCCCAAGACGGCCACTGCCTCACCCCCGCTGCGAGGGTAAACGAAGACCTCGGCATCCGAGAACACTTGCAAGTTGTAGACCTGCTCCACGCTCTCGTAGATTTTGGGCTTCGACTGCAGTGTCTGTGGCCCGTGGGTAGTGGTGATGACATCGTCGACTTTGAGCATGCACGCCTGCACATGGATCGCACATCCTGATCTCCTCACCTGGAGAGGATGATCGGCCGTGAAGCAATGAATTTGTCCACCCAAGCAGAAGGTGACCATACGCTTCCGAGTACATCCTTGCGGGCGAACTTGCACCTCGACATAGTCAGAGGGACCCTCTACCAGCAACCTGTCCGCGGTCGCTGCCGACTCCACCGTCACGAGAAGGGCTGAGCTGCGAGGCAGACAGTCATGACGCGCCGTGGCGGTTGGGGACATATCGGTAGAGAGTGGAGACTGCAGCGAATGGCCGCTGTCAGCGAGCGCCAAGCTGTGGCCGTCAACATCCCCCTGCCCAGGCATGGCAGGCTGCCGAGCTGCCGCTTCAAGCTCGTGCAAGGCTTGATGATCACCCCTGCTTAAAGGGGAGGGTTCAAAAGTGAAAGCTGCGCTTAAAGACGTCCCCCCCCCGTCCTCCAGCTGGAGGTGGTCAGAGCTCACCCATGCGTGGTCGCCGCTGGGCAGTTCCACTTTCACCAGGCCATCGCTAGCGGTCTGCAGCCGGCGCACGGCTGTGCCGCTCCGTAAGTCGAGGCCGTCAGCGCCAGCTCCAACGAGAAGAAGAGCACGAGGCGCCTACAGATCCAAAGTGAAGGCAGAAAAGCGCAGAATCTGACCTACGTCCCTCACAACCTTCAGTGAAGAAGATAGGAACCTAAAGGACGATAGTCTAGCAGCTAGCTCCACTCGATGCAGGGAGTTGTTTCGGAAGGGGGATGCTTGATGCACGTCCCGAAGCGCAGGAGGGACGTTTTCATACACCGACAAAAGCTTTTCGATCTGCTCAAGCATGTTGGGCTCAGGTGGCATGACTTGGGCATCCTCCGCAGCATCCCCGATCGCGTCTGCTGCCTCGACAACCAAGTCCAAGCACTCTGTGAGGACGTCACTCTTCTCCTTCACTGTCAACAGCTTCTCGCTGGCCTCGCGCAGCTTTTGCTTCATCTGCCTCGACCACTCCATGGTCCTTTGGTGGTGTAGTATTTCTGCGTCCCAGAGTCGTCCTAAAAGGCTCTTTATGAGCTCACGACCTGCAAAACCCAGCAGGCCCAGTGCCAGCACCAGAGCCGCCGGAACAACGAGGGGTGTTGCGACACTGACGACAGCTGAAAGGGACATGATCGAATCCTGAAGACCGGACACCACACCCGCAGCAGACGCGACATGGGCAGCAGCTGCATTTGCAGCCGCTTGTGCTGCTGCTGCCTCGGCAGCAGCCTTTGCTGCGGCCGCTGCAGCAGCAGCTGCTGAGGATGTTGTGAAGGCATGCCACAGCAGTGTTGCCCCAGCAGCAGCCGCCGCTCCAATCCCCACCACAGCTGCCACAGGTGCCGCAGGTGTTGCCATGAGCCCAGCAGAGACTGCCAGACCTCCAAGGAATTCAGATCCTAAGACTGTTGCCGCAGGTGCACCCACGCCAGCTGCAGCAGCAGCCCCTGCACCTGTAGCACCGGCAGCTGTGGCCACACCCACACCAGCAGCCGATGAGCCTGCTGCTCCTGAGCCAGCTGCGGCGGCGGCTTGGGTGGCGGCCGCCTGAGCCGAAGCAGCAGCAGCTGCCTTGCCCGCTGCGGCCGTTTTGGCGGCTGTGAGAGCCGCTTGTCCAGATGCAAGAGCAGATGCCTTGGTCATCAGTATTTGCTTAACGACAAACATAGTGCCTGCTGCTCCGCCAAGCATAATCACGCCGCCGCCCACCAAGACCCAATTGATCACCGTCAGAAGTCGCCACCACCACTCGCGCTTGCTCTCTGTTTCGGCAATCAGCTCTGCAGACCTGGACTCTTGTTGCTCGCAGCGGGCAGCGAGCTCTTGGAGCTTTTGCTGCAGCCTAACCAAGCTTGGCCGAAAGGCTGCATACCTGTTTCTGAATCTCGTAGCCCTCAAAGAAATACGCCTGGCTCGGCTCTCCATAGTTTCGAAATCCTCCCTCTGCAAGTCATCCCTCAGAGCATGGATGTCCGCTTGAACTTCATCAGCAGCTCTCTCAAGACCACGAATGCTCGAGGGATGGATCTCGCGCAACATGTTGCCGACGGCGATCGCATCATCGGAGCTCAGGGTCTCTTGCATCTGCTCCATGATGTCTCTGGTTGTCCGGACTTGCTCCACGATGTTTCGACAGCTGCGCCACAGCTCGTCGCACAGCGCATTGCTGACCGCATCTTGTACCCACGCAGGACGACTGGACAGGATCTCGCGCAGGCGTGCCCACTCCGGCGTAGGTGCGAGCATTGCATCGAGTCGATCCAGTGGGCCAGCTGCCAGCGCGGGATTCAGCTGGGCCGGGACGAGCTCATGTCCACCGGCCAAGAGGTCCATGTCCATGGAAGGTTCTTACGAGCGGGCGCTTGAGACGACAAACACCACAGCAAGAAGACCCGAGCCGAAACCAAGCTGTTTCACACCGTATGTGCAGTCTGTGAAAACGGGCTTATGCACATCGTACCAGCAACTACGAGAAGCCCTGGCCCGGGGAAGGGACTCCACTTTCGATTCCACAGCTTCAGGTACAGGACAGCCAGAGGCCAAGTCGGGCCTCACACGTTGACTTGCATTGCACTGCAGCCAGTGTCACCCGGAAGGCTTCATTGGAGTTCTTGAACGTGTTTGAAACCTGCGAGCCTCGAATATGGCCGCATAATTTCCTCTCAAGCTTTTCAGGAGCCAGCTAGGACATGGGACGCCCAGCGCTGGGGGTTTCTTATCTGGTGTGGCACCTGTGTGGATTCTTAGGCGGCTATCTCTCCAGCGATCTGCTTCAGGGATATCAGGTGCAGCGGGAGCTCAGGGAGACCACCGAGACTCTGGTGCTGCATCTCAAGCGGCGGCTTCTCGCTGTCTTGACGCGCTGGAGCAGGTGTGTTGCATAGAGGATCATAAACCCCGCTCTGGGCAAAAGCGTCCTGCTGGGCCCAAACCTTCGGCCTCATCGGACTACGTTTGGGTGTGGGTTTTGGTCGCTACTTTGTGCAACTGGCTTATCGGAGGGCTGGTGTCGCTGTGCTACTTTTGTTGTCGGCGAGTCCCAGCCGTGATCGAGGTTGAAGAAGAAGAGGAGTCGCCTAGCTCCCCGGTGGAGCAACGAGCTTTGGCCCAGCAGCAATTGGCTGCCTTGCGCCTGAGACGACATGACATTGGTCGATAGACGGGTTCTGCTGTTATATGATGTTCCGGGCCCAGCGCTTTGGCATGAGAGGTTAGTACTGCAGCATGCCGTCGACGAGGACTACGCGGTGGTAACTCCGGACCGGGACATCTTTGTAGAGACTCTCTCTTTGGCCAATGATGATCTCAGGGGATTGCGCCTTTTGCCCATTGGAGGCGCTATGCCGGTGGGGCTCCGTGGGGGATCTGTGTATCGACTGCCTGCCCTCACAGCGGCCGACATTGCTGGCTTCAAGGCACAGGCGGCCCCGGTGGTCGCGGCAGAGCTCGCCTTGAGGATCGGCGGGGCGGCTGCGCCAGCCGCTCTCGTCGCTGCGGCCGCTGGTGCTGATGGCGGCGCCGGTGGTGTGGCGGCACCGGTTGGAGCCGCTGATCCGGATGACTTGTGCTGGGTGGCCGCGGAGGCTGCCGGTGGCTATAAGTTCGGGGACATTGTTCAAGGAGTCAATGTGGCGGCCGCTGATGGCGCTAAGGCTGTGCACACGACAGCTCCGGGGGCAAGTTTGTTCGTCGCGTGCATTCGTGGTCGTGATCGAGATGCTTTCCTTCGGCGCCCGGGGGGATGGGATCTTCGGACTGTCGAGCGAGTTGCAGAAGAGCTTGGTCGTTCTGAGGCCCCTTTGAAGGACGTTGTCAGCCAGTGCTCAGAGTCTCCTGTGCAGTGGGGTTTGTCAGGGCCGCGGACTGCCAGGTGGTGCCTCCAGTACCTCATTGTCGAGGGGCTGGGGCTTGAGGGCCATCACGAGAGGGTCAGACAGCTCTGCAAGGTTGACTCCTCTGCTTGGGGGATTCAGGAACATTGGCAGCTCAGCAACGTGATCAAGCATGCGCTTCAAACCGACCAGCTCAATGGATGCAACTTGCTCTCGCTGGAGGTCATGTTCCGCCGGCTGCAGACCATTGAGTACGCTTATAGCGAAAAGGCCAAGGACAGTGAGAGCCGCGCGGTTGGGGGACGTCTCTCCCTGGAAGAGCAGCAGACCTTCGGGGGCACCACCCGACTTGCCTCTACACTCATGGTGTGTCCGGAGCTTCTTGAACATGTGAAAGCCGAGGTCGAACGGGATGCTTCTTTGGCGAAGAATCTCAGGAAGGCCCGCGAAGAACGTGAATTAGCCCGCCGAAACGCCAAGAAGGGCGGCAAGGCGGGCGATGACGGCCAGTGATTGGCCCTGGGCTTGGCACGTGGGGGGATGCCGAGCCTGCTTGATCCACCCCCTTTGCATGACCTGCGGCGAAAACCTCGTGATTTGTTTCCTGTGCCCTTTCTTCAAGAATGTGGCCCTCCTCCGCGAGATGTTGGTCGAAAGTGCCAGCGTCGAGCCCTTCGGAGAGGTCATTTGGTGAAGGAGGCGAACTTGACTATCGCTGCTCTTAATTCAATGTACCAGGCCCCTGCCGAGAAGGACAGCTACTTGCGGGGGTACACTTTTGAGGGGGCCTCTGAAGCTCAGCGGGAGGTCCAGGCTTTTGTCTATGACGCCGTTGTTAACATGGGCCAACCACCGGCCCTTTCTCACACAGGGGCGCTTCGGCTGCTCCGTGCGGCGGGCGGTTACACAGACGACCAGGCTGTGGGCACCGTCGCCGGCTATGATCCCGAGAAGGTCTCACTTCCAGAAGCAGGGTGGCAACCTATTCCTCTTTCTGATTTGTGGGGCCCAACCGGGCGGGAACGAGTTCGTGATTTCGTTCAGCATCAGCTTCTGCCTCCGGATGAGGCACAGGAGCAGGTTGCAAAGCTTGGGCTGAAAAAGCTCTACATGGATCCTCGGCTGAAGGATCGCAGGGTTTACACACGTTTTCTTCAGCGCATGCAGGCGTCGCACCTCGTGGATTTCTCTCTGAAAAAGCCCTGCGAGGAGGTCGCCGTCTTCTTCGTGACGAAGAAGGGAGACAGACTTCGGCTCATAATAGACGCTCGGAGGTCTAATGCTCACTTCCGTCCTCCTCAGTCTGTCAGCCTGAGCACTGCTGAGAGTTTAGGGTCGCTTGAGCTCGAGGGTGGCAAAGATTTAGTGGTTTGTCAAGCGGATTTGAAGGATGCTTTTTATCACCTCGAGCTCCCCTTCCAGCTTCGCGATTACTTTGGACTTCCTGGCGCCCGTGCAAAGGACCTCGGCATCACCACCGTCGGCGGGGTCAGGATCGATCAGGACACCATCGTTTACCCTCGCCTTTCAGTTGTGCCGATGGGTTGGAGCCATGCCCTTTACTTGTGCCAAAGCATACACGAGTCCCTCGTTGAGCAGGCCGGCCTTGGTGACAGCAATCGGCTGCGTGATCGGCGTCGGGCACCCAACAGCCACTGTGCTCACACTCAGTACGTGGACAACCTTATCGTCATGGGCACCGCGGCGGCTGAGGTGAAAAGTCGGTTTTCTGCAGCGGTTCAGTCTTTGAAGAGTGCCGGGCTCCAAGTTCATGAGGAGGAGACGTCAACAGGGGATAGCACCGTGCTGGGCTGGGAGTACACCGCGGGTGGCCTTTTCAGGCCCACTCGAAAAAGGGCGTGGAAAGCCCGGTGTGCCATCAGAGAGCTTCTTCGACGAGGCAGGGCTCGTGGGGAAGTGGTTGAACGACTGCTCGGCCACCTCACGTTCCTCAGTCTCTGCCGTCCGGAGGCTTTGTCGGTGTTTGGTGAGATCTACAAGTTTGTCAAGGTGCATCGTCGCTGCCCAGAGGAGGTCGTGATCCCTAAAAGCGTCTTGCAGGAGCTTCGCAACTGGGATGGGATCCTGCCTTTGCTCTTCAAGGACCTCCGTTGCGAGTGGGCTGAAGGCTTGTCAGCTGTTGATGCCTCCGAGTTCGGGCTCGGCATGACACGGGCCGAGTGCTCGGCGCAGGATGTGAAGAAACTGGGTGGGGTCGCTGAACGGTGGCGCTTCAAGGAGGCACTGCCCAACCCTCGGGCAGCGGCTTTCAACACAGTGACTAGCCAGTGCGAGGTGATGCCGCCCTTCGCCTTCGACGAGGATGTGGAAGAGGATCGCCATCACCAGCGGCGTGACGATCCCCAGTTTTCTCCTGTGCCCTTTGAGGATATCGATCGGGCTTGGACGACGACTGGGATGCATCGATGGAGACGGCCTCTCACTCTTCCGGTCGCGGAGGCCCGGGCTGCATTGTACGCCGTGAAGCATTGTCTTCGAGCCAGTGGGAGTTTCGGTAAGAAGCATGTTATCCTTAGCGACTCGATGACGGCTACTTTGGCGATCTCTCGAGGGCGCTCGAAACATTACCACTTGAGACGCGTATGTCAGCAGGTAGCTGCACTTGCCCTTTGCACCGGCTCGCAGTTCTTCCTGAGGTGGATCCCCTCTGAGATGAACCCCAGTGACAACCCGTCACGAGGCGAGTGGAAGCCGTCAGTTCCTAGCCGAGAGCCCAAGGACAAGCTCCTCAGCCATGCTACTGCGGGGGCTCCTGGGCAACAGTGCTCTGACCATGGCCGACGGCAGCGCGGCCAAGAAAAGGAAGCGGGCTCCTACAACATCGAGGGGGAGATCGAAACCTTCCTCGGCCACGGCGGGCCCAGCGCAGGCCTCCCTCCAGCTGGAGACGGACACGATCCCCAGAAAGCTGAAGAAGGAAAAGCGCAGGGCAGCGAGGCAAAGCATGAATCGGTCGTTGGAAAGCCACACCATTCTGCAGCAGGCCTCCGTTTCTCCCGATTGCCTAGCCAGGTACAAGAGACATTGGGAGGAAATGGAGCCAATGATGCTGGATGGACGCGGGCGTCTGCGGCCCCTTGCAAGAATCGACCAAGCCTTGGCCGAGCACCTGGAGGACCTTTACCGAGACGGGGAGGATTTGGCCACGGTGCGGTATGCTGTGGCAGCGGCGCTCTTCTTCAAACCGGAGCTCCGGTCGCCTGCAATGACTCACCTTCCGAAGGTGAAGCAGGGCCTTGCTGGGTGGAGCAAGTTGTGCCCTCCCAGGAGTCGCTTGCCCATACCGTATGCAGTGGTGGCCTTGCTAGCGCTGCATGCATTGAGCTTGGGCCTTCTGGAAATCGCGATCTACCTGCTCCTGACCTTTTCGCTGTACATGCGGCCAAGCGAGGGGCTCCGCCTCCGAAAGAAGGACGTGGTGCGGCCCAGCTCCCGACAAACGGGGTTTCAACACTGGTCGGTAGTGCTCCATCCTTTGGAAGTCGGGGTGTGCTCAAAGACGCGGGAGTTCGACGAATGCCTGCAGTTAGACCTGCCCTACCACCAACCATTGGGACCGGCCACTTACAAGTTGCTGCGGCTACATCAAAAGCGAGGGGAGGAGCACATCTTCACCATCACGCTGGAGAATGTCACCCAGTTCCTCGAGCGGGCTCAGATCGACCTCGAGCTCAAGGGCCTGGGCGAGCTGCAACCATATCGCTTGAGGCACGGTGGGGCCAGCCACGACTTCGTCGGCAAGCTGCGGGATCTGGCATCCATCCAGATGCGGGGGAGGTGGAGGTCCCAGAGCTCAGTGCGACGATACCAAAAGGGAGGCCGGCTGACGCAGCTGATGCAAACGTTACCGCTGCATGTCAAGAAGGCCGCCGAAAACGCCGTTCGAAAGCTTCCGGCGGCACTTGCTGGCCTGCCGAAACGAGGTCTTCCGGGTCCACCCGTGTTCATTGAGATCTTTTGTGGCACTGCACGGTTAGCACAGAGTGTCGCCAAAAGAACCGGTTGGCCTGTATTGCTTTGGGACCTAAGTTTTGGTGATGCATACGACCTCCGCCAACTGCAGGCCCAGCACAAGATCCTTGGGTGGCTTCGTGCAGGACGATTGCGAGGCGGCCATCTTCGTGTCCCACACCGTTCTTTCAGTCGGGCTCGTGATCACCCGCCAGGACCAAGGCCGCTACGGAGTGATACTGCTCCTCTTGGTCTTCCAGGGCTTCCCACCAAGGATTTTGACAAGGTACGCATCGGTAACACATTGATGCGATTTTCTGTTCGAGTGATGCAATCTGCACTGCACCAGGGCCTTCCTTTCACGCTTGAGAATCCCCGCACTTCCAGGCTATGGCTGTGCCCTCCTGTACAACACCTTTTACGACAGCGCGGTGCCCATATTTACATCACAGAATTCTGTATGTTCGGCACGCCTTGGCGCAAATCCACCCAAATTGCAGCAGTGCATGTTGATCTTTCAGTGCTTCAACATTACCGGTGCCTAGGCTCAAAACGTGGCTGCTGTCTACACTCTGGATGTCGACATGTTGCTCTTTCGGGTCGCAACTCAGAAGGAACTTGGCTCGCAAAACTTGCGGAGCCTTACCCGTGGCAGCTCTGCACAATCCTTGCACAGTGCTTTTACAACTTCGAGGTCTCTCAGTTAGCTGAATCTTTTTGGAAACGGCTAAACCAGGGAGCAAGCTGATACGGGCTTGGCTGCTATGGGTCGTGGGTTGCAACCTTTTCTGTGCGCTCTGGCGCAAACGCTGGCAGCGGGGGCTTTAACTTCAAAGGCCTCCATATGCCATCGACGACGCAGAGCTTTACACGTTGCACTCTGGCCAGAAAAAGCGAGATTTGCTGAGCGAAGTTTCAATCATTGTGATTCTAGTCTATGGTCTCAGCCAGCGAGCATCGCTACTGCTCGGCTGCTGCAAACACTGTGATTCAAAAGCTGTTGACAGTTTCTCGGCTGCCCTGACATTGACGTGTCCGGTAGCTTAGAATGCTCCAGCGTCTCATGTATCAACATGCTGCTGCACTTGGGAGATCTTTGCAAGCAACAGCAGTTGCAAGCAGTACCTGCGCTCGAGCAAATCTGAGCAGCTGTTTGGCCACGCCGCTGTGGCAACCCCTTGTCGTTCGAGCTGCCGGTTTCTTCGCTATCGGCTTGAAGATGTGGTCGATTCTGTTTCCATGAATGTGCAAGCCAAGTAGGGAATGAGAACATTGTAAATTGTGTCCCCTGTCCCTTTGCATGTCCTTGTTGGCATGAATGTATGCACCTTGCTGACTTCTCGATCGACTCTCCGAAGCGATGTTACACCGGCCCGCGAAAGGCAGTGCATTGGATGTTGGTCATGCGAGGTGTTCAGGACCTGATCCAGCCACAAAAGCCTTCGAAATGCGAAACTCAGCTTCAGACAAGGCAACGAAAGCTATAATCCTGACCGCCTTGAACCTTCTGCGTGCAGTTTGGGGCGGATGCTGTGCATGTTGACAGCGCACAACATCGTGCTGCTGTTCTGCAGTTCTGCAATTGCCCAAAGTCTGCGCTGCCGGCCACAGATTTGCCAGAACGTAGCAAAACGGGGTTTTGGTCTTTGCGTGCTGGCAGGGCGCCTTGCTCATGACCCTACCATTCATGTGCTGGGGGCTCACCACCACACTGCCCGCGCCTGCTCTGTCTGCTCTGCCATTTGGACTGACGGACTTTCCATTCCAAAGTTAAAACTGATTCGGCTGTTTGATGGCCACAGCCTTGCAAGCGAGCGCTAAGCAAAGGAACTCATGATAGTACCACGAGGAAGATATCTTAGTGCACCGCGTAGAATTGCAGCTTCGAGTTGAGCTTCCTAGGTCGATGGTCTTGCCGAGATTCGCGACACCCGAGATTGCTTGGGAAACTTGGTGGGGAAGCAACCATCTCTGAGACAAACGCGGAGTTGGAAGCAACCTCCATCTTGTTGTCCTCCTTGTCATTCAGGCCGGAAGCCTTGGCATGGATTACATCATTTTTCAAGAAGTCCGAACGGCAGCGCACCGTGCCGAACAAGGAGGGCGCGAAGCTTGCACAGCTTGTGAGTTTGGCCTTCAGGCCAACAGCATGCAGCCAAACACAAGCGACATCTGCGGCCGTCATCACGTTGTTTGGCAGCGGTTGACAACACATGACGAAACTTGAATAGAACGGTATAGGCTCTGACCAACTTCTGAAGCGTTTCAGCATCCTCCTGTCGTCGCATCGCTGCACCCAAGAGCTACTTACACATCAACAGGCGTTACCAGCACTCCTGCATTTTTGTCGCACGCTCGAGGCTTGCATGGGGTGTCCTGCCAATCTGGAAGAGGAGAAAAATGTCCATCTATGTAATTACCGCCGAAGAAACAGATCGCGCTTGCAAAGGCAGTTCCATGAGCCTCTGGCGTAAAGCTCCTTTGCTCACAAGTGATCTCCTTGCAGGGGCAGTGCTGCACAGTCTTGGGGCCAACACGGGATGCTGCGTCGGGAGAGCCTTCCTCACGAGGAGCTCCTCCAAGAAGGCTGCCAGATCCTGACATGTTGCCCAAGGCAGGGGCAATTCAGCATAGCCACAGAAGAGAGAGAGAGAGAGAGAGAGAGAGACTTCTTGACATCCCACCGCCCAGCTGCCGCAACTCTTGCACCAGCTCGGATCGCAGTTGCTGGCCTGAATGACAAAGATGCACAAAAAACGGCGACCAAAAAATGTGCACTCCCAAAAAATTTAAAAACGAATTTGTTTCAGCCGTGAGAATGTGCTGAGGTACTCCGCCAGGGACTCTTCCAGCTTGCGGAACTGGGCGCTCACCGCCTCTTCGACAGGTTGAATTAGGGCTTTACACTCGCGCAACTCGGAACTCAGCCAGACGAAGTCTCTCGGTTCACTTGTTCACTACGGGTCCGGGTTGAATTCATCACCACAGTCAGTTGAGAGAAGACAGGTTGAAGCTGTTTTTTCTCTCAGCTATAGCGGATCGTGGTCAGGCCAAATTTCTCTCAAATGGCCTGAGAACACTGAAGGCCAAGAAGTTGGCATGGGACACAGCGACCATCACACTGCCCTGCGGCAGCAAAGGTGGCACTACGTGAAAAACATTCAGCATGGGACACAGCGACCATCACACTGCGCTACTGGCAGCATGGGGCACTGGGTGAAAAACGTTCAGCCCTCAAAAAAACTCTCAAGACAGATTACGACGGGTAGAATCAGAGAGTTTCTAGAATCAAGCCACCGAAGAAAAGACTTATACTTATCATGCTAAGAAAACTCCACTGGCTTGATTTGTGTACGGCTGCAACCTGAATTATTATCTGAATTGTTGCTGCTCTCACTCACAAGAAAGCAGAGAGACTGACAGCCAAAAAGGCCGTAGTCATCACCTTCGACGTCGCGTCACTGGCGCCCTGGTCATCCTTGTCATCCTCCTCCGAGCCGCTGCTTGTGGTGGTGGTGGTGGTGGTGGTGACAACCGTCGCCGTCTTGCCGCTGACCTCCAGCGTGCCAGTGTAGCCCACGTCCGCGACCGCCTTAGCGATGGCCGTGTTGGTGTCGGTCACGGAGACCTGCTCAATCGAGGCCTTCGCTTCCTCAGCTGCTTGCGCACTGGGAAGGGTCACCTTGAAGATGGCCACAAGCGTCGTGGAGAGCCTCCTTGTGCCGAGGCGTCGAAGTGCGTTGACCTCCACAAACTCCACCGTCACCTGTGACGGATCCACTCCCATAGCGCTGGCAAACCCGTCCACCATGGCTTCCTTCAACGTCTCGTTCTCGGTAATCACGGTGGGGTCGTCCACGGTGAGCTCCATGGAAACTTCAACCACAGTGGGGACCGGTGCCAGTGTGGTCGTGGTCTCGTCGGTCGGGTCGCTCGTGTCGGCGGTGGTGGTGGCGGTGCCAGTGCTGGTGGCCGTCGAAGACACCGTGGCCGTAACCGTTACCGTGGAAGTGGCCGTGGCTGTCGTTGTGTCCGTATACGTTGTTTCCGTTTCCGTCTTGGTGGTGGCGCTGGCCGTGCTTGTGGTGACGGTGGCGGTGGTGACGGTGGCGGTGGAGGCGGTGGATGTCGTGGTGGTTGTTGGATACACTGGAGCAAAGGTAACCACATATGCCTGGCCGTCTTTCGCACCTGAAAACGCGCCCATCGACCCATCCGTGGTCAGGCTGGCAGACCAACAGCCGTTCACATCGAACTCGACGTTGGGGTCTGTCCCCCAAGTCGTCCCACCATCGCCACTGAGCCATGCGTACTCGAGGCCGTTCGAGGTCGACGTGCAACACGCGAACATCTTGGAGCCATCGGCAGACAGCGCTACCGCATTACATCCATACAGCCACTGTGTGTCGTACTGGTTCCGACCGGCAAGTGTGAACTCAGTCCATGAAGCGCCCATGTCGAAGCTCACCCAGGGGGGTGCACTTTCCACAGCAACGATCTGAATCATGCCATCAGCCGACAGGGCAATGTCACGAATTCCGTTTCCATCATTTGGCGCCTGGTGCTGAGTCTCCCAATTCGCCGTGCTGAGGAAAATGCCTCCAAAAACTTGGGTATTTGGGGCCACCGCCGCAAGGTAGGAGCCGTTGGCTGTCGAAGCCACGGAGCGGTACGACACGTACTGCCCGGCTGTGTGCTTCGTCCAATTCAGGCCGCCGTCCGTGCTTGTCAAGATTTCGCTACTCGAGGCAACGACGATGACGGAGCCATCATCCGACATAGCAGTAGCTGTCCAAGAGCTGCTGCTGTATGAGATGTTCCTCCAATTCTCGCTGCCGTTGTCGCTGATCCAGAAGGTCGGACTGGACGGAGCGGCAGAAATCTTAGACCCGTCAGCAGACATGGCCAAGCCCTGCCAATTCCCGGTGCCAGGCTCAGTACTCTGTGTCCAAGTTGCACCCGAGTCAGTGCTGGTGTAAAGATTAACGTTGGTTCCGGCAACCATCTTGGTGCCATCGGCAGACATGGCCATCCGGCAATCGGTGGCATAATAGCCATTGCCGACAGCAACGGAGTTCATACCCCAAGCCAGGCCGAAGACTGACAGCAGCACGAGCAGCAACATGTTTGCCAGCTGAGAGGGTTCGGATATGCTAAGGGGATCCTTCACTTTTGGGCGCCAAACTTGAGGCCAAAATGGCTACGGAATGAGTCTTAATATTTGAGGGTTTAGGGAAATGGAGCGGCGTGGTCCTGGCGCGCACGTGGCATAGGTGAAATCGCATGCACGCTTCTGCAAAGTGTGCGCCCCGTCGCCTTGGAACGTCCAGACGAGGTTTTGTCGTAGTGATCCAGGAAGGTGGCGCCTGAGGCCTGCAGCATATCAGCATATATCTCGTCTTCTGCGTCTCCTTCAGTCTTCCCTTGTTCTTATCGCCCGCCACATCCGCAGCAGCCGTGCCAGATGCAACTCCAAGTTTATATAAAGCGCAAGGATGATGGAAGGAATCGGGTGATGCAGAACATCGCCTATAGCACAGGGCCAAAGATCTACGGGGCATCCTGATCATCCTCTTGGGCCTCGCCTGACCAGGCTCGGAGATTCGCATTACCAGCCACGTCCGCGTTTGCCTCTCCGAAGGACTGACTACGCCACGTAGGGGAGACTTCAACGAGCAAAGAGAGAGGTTGTAAGGCTAGCAAGGCTGCGGCACTTAGACGGCTCCATCTAAAATGGAAAGGCGTCTGAAGCACCCCAAGTCCCCTGTTGCTCGCCGAACGGGTGTGCTCCGGTCGCCCAGCGCAGCAAGCTCCTCCGGGAGTGACGAGGGCAGGAGTGCGCCGGCGCGGCGGCGGGCCCTGGAAAATTGCCGCATTCAAGGCCATGCATGCTTTGCCTGCTTTGTGAAGGCCACGATTGGAACCCGAGGCCCGTGCAGAAGATGCAGCGCGCACGCAAACTGACTGAAGGTCAGCGCCCCATCCTGCACAAGTTGCACAAGCCCACTCCTCGATGCCATCTCCCCACTTTCACCGGTGCATGTGGGGTGGGGCCTTGGAGAGGGAGGCCCTGTCCGCGTTACAGCGTCAAAAATGGGATGACGCAATCGCACCCACTGCGACGCCCACTTCAGGTGCTCGCTTGAAAGATGTCGCGGTATCTTTGGAGGTCCTCGGCTGCCATGGCCTCAGCGAAGCAGAGCCGCCAGCCCAGTCGGAGTCGCCTCCGAAGCCGATGGCCTCGCAGCTTCGGAGCATGGGCTCCCTGAGAGCTCCCAGGGTTTAGCTCAAGTCTCAAGGCCTCGGAGGGAGGACGTCTGGCAGGCTGTAGCCCTGCAGATGAGATCAGATGACTTCAGGCCAGAGCCCCAAACCCCCCGCAAGTCAGAAGCTCGCACTCCTAAGGCGAAACCCTCTGCTCTCTTAACACTTAGTTCTAATTCTAAACCAAGGGGCCGCAAAGGGCTGCTGTCTTCTCTAGGCTCAGGGGTCGTATCCTGGCGAACCGAGCATCCTGAAACCAGAATCTTCGGCGGCCCGCCTGACGCTGGCGATCTGCCAGGGCTGCTGCCAAAGAGAACTCCCCTGCATCCAGGGCGGCGTCCCCGTCTCGGTCGGCGAGCCTTGCGTACTTCGGGTTCTATGATGGTGACGGCCACGAATTTCCATTCCAGCGTTCGCATCACTGCTATCCGTGTCTGAGTCCTAGTACAGTCCTAGTGCCAATACCACAATATATTCCAACAGGCAAGCCGCTGTATGTAGATATAAATGAGATACACAACTTCGATTTATTCATATACAAGAGTTTTGCTTCCCCCCCCCCCCGGCAGTTGTCAGGCTCACAGTTGGTGCATGCCTGCCCAGTAACTAGCAAAGCCCGTGCCGCAGATGCCCCAACGGCCTCAACCCAGCTTGACCGAAGGAACCCTAAGCACGAGCGCGGGAACCTCGGTATTCTACCACGTTCGTGCTCAAAGACCATGTCCTTTTCTCGAGGCTGTTCGAATTCCTGCCCCTTTTGACCTCTTGTGCTATTGTCTCTTCGTTTCTTGGCCTTCGGTTTGGCTTCCAACCTACTGCGCAGCTTGACTTTTCCCTCCTGCAATTGCGCTCGGAGCAAGCCCCCCGGTGGCCCTCCTTGCCCCACTCACGCCCCTTTGCGCGAATTTAGGGTCTCCTAACAGGGTAGGTTGTATCTATTTGAATGATGTTGCTTGTAAAGCCGACTTTTAAAAAGAAAAGGACTTTTAAACACCTGTATGCATCGAAGCGAACCGATCCTAATTTCGCGGGGAGCTCCCCTAGGTATCTAAATCTGATGCTGCGGTCTGAATCCATAGCTAAATAACCCAAGTAACCACGCAAGGAGGGGGGATCTTCCGGGCTCAGCTTGACTGCGGACTCGTGTGCTGCTCCCCTGTGCACTCAAGCACGACTAAGAGCCCTTGGTGAAACTGCTTCTGACCAGCTGGCATGTGTTGCTGGTCCTGTACCCGTTGCATGCACCGCTTGACTTGAAAACTTGAACGGCGTAGCCTGCTCAAGAAATGTGAGCGTCGAACTGCTGACTGCTGATCCTGGAATTCAAGCAAAGCCACAGCGCAAAAGAAAGCGTCGGTGAATGCTGCTGCTACCTCAGCCGAGAAGCTCACACGACGGGGAGGATGCAAGTTCACAGCGCTCAAACTCCAGCGCTGCTGAGGCACACGCCATGCAACCTATGCATCGTCCGTCTTTTGTGGCAGCATGAACCCGTAGCAATCTTCCCTGCGAGCGGGGAGACGGCAAAAACCCCTAAGCTGAAAAGTCATCGAAACCAAGTGCTGGGCTTGGATGTGCCGCGATTGAGTTCATTGGCTTCGTCTTCCTTCACCCACTTCCTGTCCTGCAAAGTCAAGCTGAGATGCGGCACAGGGAGGGAGGGTGGGAGAGCGGGTTTGACGTGAATTGCTCTCCTTCTGGCTGTATATATCCAGTTGGAACGCATCGCACGTCACGGTCTTTGGGTTCTCGTTCTTGATAGCCTCACGCACGGCTCAGCAATGAAAGCTCAATTCCGCTTCAGCTTTGATTGCCTGATTTCATGGGGCGCAAGAGGTGCAAACATGGACACATCTGCGCGAAACTTCCAAGCGCAGGGCCTTCTTCAGGTCATCCACCTGACATCGCTCACCAAAAGCGTGGAGAACCACTCATAAACTCATAACACAGAACCGCACTCAGAAACTCGCAAAGACAGCTGCAGAACCCTCAGAAAGTGGCGCAGCTGAGGTCACCGCGTTTGAAAAAGCTCCTTTGACTTGAAATACATTGCCGGCGACCTCAATCGTAGACCCGTCCTCGCAGAGCAAACGCGCTACCAGTTCATGCCAATTGCATCCATTCAACCTATGCCCGGCGAAGCTGAGACATGCTGGAAACAAGAAGTGCAACAAACCCTGCAAATCTTAGATGCCGTGTTGGGACTGGGCAGTTACAGGAGACCATCATGGAAACCCAACCCCTTCGACTGAAGCACTTGCACATGAACATGAAGGCTCCATCGAAGTCGTAGTCCTTGCGAAATTGACAGGCCCAAATGACTGTCGGTTGCGCTGGGGCGGCACTGCCTCACAGGTGACAAGGGCTTGTATCTTCAATCCTCCAGCCTCCATGGTCACATGTCTTAGCACCTGGAGCAACGGTCTCAAACCTTGCAACTCTTGTGCCTGCAGATCCGGCAGATGGGCCTCACAGGGTGCTATAACGGACGCAAGGTAGCCGAGAATTGCAGATCAAACAAGAGAAAAGGACTCCGAGGAAGAAAACATCATGACATGTGCACAAAGGACGTGAATGTGCATCGCATCAAGAAACGGACTCTGCCACTATCATGTATGATATGTGAGTCAGGGCAATGAAGCATCCATGGACAAACCAGTACATGGACAGGTTATTCCTGATATCCAGCTCATTCCTGACACGAAGCAGTACTGCTGAACGAAATCAACTCGTGGAGTTTGCGCACGTGTTTTCATGAAATAAAAACAGACAAATGAGCATCATAGAGCATCCCTGTTGCACTTGTGGTGGGATGCAACAGCTATCTTGGTGTGCCCTGCCTGGAGTAGAGCGGGGTTTCTTTGGCTTTTGTCCAGTGTTGATATTTGTTTTGATCAACCTGTTGATTGTCCAACTCAATCTAAACAAGCTTATTTAACCTCCATCCACCTCCTCCTTCCAAACAGTGTAAGCAAAACAGAACAAAACACGCAAGAGAACCTATTTCTGAAACACAGTCCTGATTTTGGCAAAGGAATTTGTTGGAGCCCGCGGTGAATAAGCAGCTTCATGTGGTAAGTCGATGGAATGACAGCCCATTTCTTGTCCGTGCCGTTGAAGATGTCGGGCAATCCGAAGGTCATGGAGCTTCGGCTAATGACCCCGCCCAGGTTCTTCTCCGCAATCATTTTTGCACCTTCGTCTGTTTCCACATCCTCCACCAAAGAGAAGCCTTGTGTGTCTATGTTCGCCAGGTGAGCCCTCGCCGCTGCATTTTTCACACAGGAAGGCAGCCCGGGGCATAGCAGAACGGCAAAGGGGTCGAAAGCATTTTTCTTCCGAATGAGGCTGTCTAAAGCCTGCTTGGTGGTGTAAATGTCGCCGCCGAAGATGTCGTAGAACATCTTTGACAAATCTTCGTCCATGCCCCAATCATCCTTCAGCATCTTCTTCATGTCGGACTGTGGCACTTCGCCAATGACAAGCAATTGTTGAATGCTGCTCAAGGCTAAGCCGTTTGCTAACAGCCGAAACGGATAGCTAAACTCCGAAGATATCATGGTCACACTTGCTCGAGGTGTCTGCTTGGTCCACTTCGTGATGGCTTGTAGAGCTGATCCAGCTAGAGCGCGTCCATCTTCAGCCACTATTCCAGGTATTGCAAGGTTTGCTTCATCGACGATGATGCACGGGACCTTCTTGCTCCGGGAGATAAAGTTGTCGATGCGAATTTGATGACGTGATACTGCGGCATCCAACACTTCCTTAGCTGCCACTCCAGCTCCACTAAATCCATTGATTCTCTTCAGGGCGTAGTCGACAGGGAATTGGATGACTGCGCGCAATATCTCCACCGAGAGACGTGCCCACCCAAGGGATTTCTGCTGTTGCAAGTCGAGTGCCGTCATCAGATCCTTGCCCAGCATGTCTGCATCCCGCATGTCGACCGACACCATGTTCACATTTGCTTTGCATCTGGCAATAGCTGCTTCCTTGAGCAACGTCTTGCCCAAGTTTCTACCCCCGAGCACAAGACAAAGCGTACCTCTTACTGTCATCTGTTCACCAAGGTTGGCAACAGCAGCCTCGCGATCTACTGCATCTCTTTTCTCCAGAAACGCTGTGGCCGTAGAGTTGATTTTTTGGAGGTATGAACCTGTCGTTCACTTGGCTGCATCGGCTGCATTGCTGGCAACTTGCCAAAAGCTGACGCTCTTCAGCGAAAGGCGGAGGCGTTGCGGGCTCACTCGGTACAACCCCACACGTGGCGATGCAACAAAGCACCCCACACCAGAGGCGAGGAGCATGCACCAAAATGCACCCCACCCATGGCGTTCCCTACCATTTCTCATGGATGCTACATCGGCTTCAACAAATAATGACAACAAGTCATGTGAAAGTCTACCGTGATCTTTGAGCTGACTTTTGCTTCGAGGCTGCCGTAAAGGTTGATCATGTTAGGTCTCTGAACGTCTTTACACATCTCTGTGTGCATGTCTGTGTCAAGCTGCTAGTGTGCACACTATGTTCCTTGACTGGAATGCACATTCCAGTGAAAAAACAATGCACACTGCAACGTCCAAGGCTTACAGCTGTCTGTGGAAATTATCCTTCACTTGGGGCTTGAAAAAGAAGGGGCGACACACGCAGAAAACCAAACGTTTGTAAATCAAACCCAACATTGGCTTTTAACATCTACAAGGTTTGGAATTGACGTAATGCAGTCCAGGCGGTCTGGAAATGAAATTTGGCGGCTTTGGACATGACATCCAAATGGCTTCCATTTGGAAACGAAACCTTGGGAAACGAAACATGTTTTCAGGCAGGTCAATTATTTCAGTCCAACTTTGCTGCTCCATTCCAAATTCAGTTGCTCCATTCGGATGCGGAATGCGCTGGTGTGTGTATCCCAAACTTGCGCAACAACAGAAAATACAGGTGGAAACGTTGAGGAAAACATCGGTCATGCCAAAGGGTGCAGAACAAAACAAGCATTTCCCCGAAAACACGCAGGACGCGTTGCTGTCAACTGGTTTTCAAATGCAGTGCTGCAGATGGAAAACATAACTGGCGGTGGAAAGATCACGCACAGCTGGGAAAATCGGTCACCGATTTTGGGGAAGTCTGTCACCGACTTTAGAAATCAGCTGCTGGCTTTTGGTTTGAAGCTACTCTCCCAACTCCCTGAAATTAAAAGGAAATATGAAGCTCACAAGGCTTGCAACACTCGCACTTTGGCTTGGAAGTGCTACTGGCAAAGTTGCAGTCCCCCGACACAACCTGTAGTGCTCGAGCAACCCCGAATGCTTCGAAAAGTAAGCGGACAGGGTTGCGCCTTCGCAAGCGTCTTCATGCTTAATGCACTAGACAACTACTGCAAGTGCTGAAAGTACATTACCACATACCGGCAGATGGTCCTTTTTACCGCGTCCATCTCGCCTCGGGGAGGGTGCAACTGGATAAGGCTTCCCGCGTGTGTCGACCCATCCTAAACCCTCTCCGACCACGTGCCGGGGCTGGCTGGCACCGATTCGACACGGGAGGTGCGATTCGGCCGAGTGCTCAAAACGCAGGCGGGGGACAGCTCGAAATTGGAGACGGACCGCGGCGTGGTCGGCTCGCAGAACGGTTGGCTGCCGGGGGCTGCCGGGGCACGATCCCGGCGAGGCGGCATGGTGTTTTAGGGCCATGGGCGCCTGGGGTGTGTGAAAAACAGAGCGCGCAGCACTCGGTCTTTTTCTTGAGCCAAAGCGGAGTCGCGTCGGGCTCTGACTGACAGTGAAACACCTTGCAGCTTTCTGTCTCCAAGCAAAACACTTCAAACACTAACGAAACGAGACGAAACGAACGTGCAGTCACTTCCTAACTCAAAAGCACTCCTCACAGCTTCAGGCATGCCGAAAACATCAGGACATCCAAGGTCAAATGGGATTTTCTTTCCGAGCACTCGAAGAAGTAGCGCGGCTCCTAGGCCAAGACTGTACAAGCTAAGCAGCTACCAGTAGAGCTACGGATCTGACAGCCTAGCTACGGAAGCAAAACTTCATAGCCCTGAGGCCGTGAAGTCTTGCTGTTGCACGCAAGCCAGCCAGGCCGGACCACGGAGCTGAGGCAGTGGTGGGAGTGACGTATTCAACGGTTCATGCACACAAGCCACCACACGTGCCCCTCAAAACACAGTGGGCCCTCACAGTTGGGCCTCAGTTGAAGGTGAGTTTCGTCGTCAAGCGAAAGCAGCATAGCCTGGGAGACTACCACAGCAGCCTTTGTACACTTTATACAGCTATAGCCTACCGCCTACCGCCAACTGTACACAGCGCAGCGGGTGGTCGCATGAGCACGCCAAGTGCCCACACCACCGACCTGCCTTGTCCATGAAATGAAGTCTGCGTGTCTTAAGACGTCTGGTGAGTAGGCATAGCGTCACAAGCATCTTCAAGGCTGAAGGACGAAGGCTCACCAATTTAGTTTGCACTCTTGGCCGCACTGAACGGACCACCATGCGAGGACTGTAGCGCTAATGCAGCCTCGTAGGGCGCAGAAGCAGCACACCAGCCCTGCACGGCTTTCAAGAGAAAGTCAGTTGTGCTTGTTTTGGTTTGGCTTTGGGTTTGCAAGCATTTTTTGGCGTCACAACCACAGCCGGTTGCCCAAAGCTTAAAGTGGCCTGCTTTGGTCCCTCAGGAGTTACAGCAGCGTCACGCTTGGACCCAAAAGGAGTAGCAGCTTTCGTTTTCGGCACCGCAGGGCCCGACTGATCCAAAGTTGAGCTGCCCACTCCTTGAGCCACTTTACCGATTTGGCTTACAGCCGCTCTCCCATCACAAGGTTTCTGCAACTGCTTCGCTCCAACGGCCGACTGTGGGCGCTGCAGCCTCCCACATTTGGAACAAGACCACTGCACACCCATGTTGACCATACTGTGTGTTGCATGAATGCCCCACTCGCTCAAAATCTCACCACCACCAATGCAGTGGTGTGTCATGAGACGGTCGAAGCTTGCCGGGTCAGCTATTTGCTGAACGTACAGTCCACATTTGGTGCATTTCATTGTCAAGTTGGTAGGTCCTTCAGCGCCTTTGACCCACTGGTGACCCAGAGGATCTTCAGGCATTGCCAACTTTTCTAACATGCGTTGTTTTTTGTTCAAGGGCTTACCATTTTTTGGGCCAGGACCAGGTTTATCACCAGAAACTCCCTTCTTGGACTTCGGATTTTTTGCATTTTTGGGTTTGGCATGACTGGGCTTAACAAAGGCGGCGTTAGGGACAACCAGGGGCTTAGGGGCAGTATCAGTAGCACCCCTATTCAAAATCCACGGGAAATCCGGGCTCTTTCTCTGCCGAATGATGAATCCAGCACGTCGCGCTAAGGAGTAGCAGACTTGTTCCACCACGGAATCACATTTCTTCAGCCACTTCGCATGCGCGATCGAGAAATGCTGAGAAGCCCTTTCCCCGCAGAGTTTGTCGACGTCCTCGTTGATGAGGCGCCTCCACTGCTCCCAGCCCTGCTTTTCAAAGTAAGCTGCACTTTTATGTGAAGAAACCCAATGCAAGCGGATGCGACTGCGCTCGTGCCATATCGTGCCCCATGGCACAACACCTTCCTGCGGTGGGTTGGCCTTGCCCAAGATTTGCTTGACACTTTTGCAATCAGTTGTGGCATCAAAGTCGCCAGTGACACGATGCATCAACTCAAAAAGAGCTCGCTGTTCGGCCTGAGGCACTGTCAGGGGCTCCGCCTCCAAGCACGTGGCACTCGCAACCCTCTTTGGTTGTCCATCAACCAAGGCATAGGCTCCTATGGACCAAGTCGTCACGAGGAGCCTTTGATCCGAGCCGCCTGGTCCTCCAGAAGCATCACAAGCAAAGACATATCGACTGCCTTCCAAAGTACTCTGGGTCGACCATAGTCCCGTGACTTGCAAGCCGCATTGCTCAATCGCAGGTTTGGGATGCCGCACTTCACTAAGGGGAGTCAGGCCTCTCAACCACAATGAAGGCCAAGGGTACTGGGATTTCATTTCGGAAAACTCCTTGGCATCAAACTGCTTGCAAATGAACGGACATTCCCAAAGATTATGTTGCAAAGAAAGCGGACACTGGCACAGCTTGCACCAACCTGGTTTGGCTGAGGAAACCATCGCTCCTTGCCATACCGCATGCAAATTGCTAAGGGTAGCTCTCTGCACGTGTTTGCGCTTCAACAACTTGCGGTGGACAGTGAAGTCAGTGCCCTGATCGAGCGAACCACAACCCTCTTGCTGGGCAATGCGAAGCCCTTGCTGGTGTAGCAGTAATTTATGCACCCACTCCCAGCCGCTGCGGATGACATCAGAATTGGTCCAGTCGAGTTGAAGGTTACCTTTGGCATGCCGCCACAGATGCACCTGTGAGCATTCCACTCCCAACTCAATCAAATACGCTTGGGTGGCAGCAATTGGTCCGGTGACTCTCTTCCAAGGGTCTTTTGCTTTGGACAAGTGATTCCATATGCTTTTCCAAGTGCTGGCGAATTTTTGCCCATCCTCACGATGCCACTTTTTAAAGACACGGAAAACAGCCCTAATATGCTGCCGCATGATGGTGAAAGTCGGGTCTTCGCATTTGGCATGATTCAAGGCAAAAGTCAGATCAACCGATCCTAGTTTTTGTCGACCAGCATGTTTGCTGCAAATGGCGCGGTAGTACTTGCGCCTCTTGGGGCTCACCCCAAGGGCCTGGTGTCCCCAGAGGCCCGCTGACATGATTGACGCTTTGACCACCCTAATCTTATGAGACACAAAGGGCACCCTGAGACTACAAAGTTTTTTATTACGGGCTTGTGCCTTGGCCTGTCTGGTTGCCGCTAAGCCTAACAGCCGTCTTCTAGTGCCCCCGGAAGTGACCCCTAGGTCGCGGGCGAAATTTTTAATGGCCGGATCATCCGATTGGCAGATTGCCTTCAAGGCCTTGCAAGCCTCAGACGACGTGGCAACGAAGGAAGTTTTGCTGATGGCAACTTGTGCGCCCCTGGACTCCAGGGAACTGCGAAGACCTCGGAACAAGCGCAAAGC